GCTGCTGCTCTCAGCTTCTGATATTTCTCTGCTCATCGATCTTTGGAGCATCGCTGTGGAAACGGGCACAGCTCCAGCAGCGTTCCCCGAGGCCTGGAAAGTGAAATCAGGATTGTGCTGGTGCTGCCCCAGAGGCAGAGGGCTTCTGGTGGTGGCCATGTGCTGTGTGGGAACTGGGGATCAGGAGGGATGGGTGTGGGCTGCAGGAGGGGAGTGTGATGCTGCAGCCCCCCATATCTAGAGGATGAGCATCCAATTGTCATGCTCCCATAAAGGAGATCTGGGGTCTGCACTTCGCAGCAGAGCACAGGGCTCTGCAGCCACCTCCCAGATCCCAAAAGCCCTCTGAAGGGGAAGGGGAAATGGAAGGAGCCCTCGAGTTCCCTGCTTCAAAGGGATCACATGCAGAGCCAAATAGGGCAGGAAGCAGGGGATGGGCTGCTGAGCACTTGCTGCTCCAGTGGTGCAGGGGAGAGGCACAGAGAAGGCTGAGACGAGAGTGGGAAGGGGCCCATACAAAGATATGAAGACATGGGGCTGCTGCTGTATAAAAACTGGATTTCTGGGTGCACTATCCAACTAGATGCACTGAGAGGGAGCGAGGAAGCGGGAGCAGAGCATGAAGCAGCACTGCAGGAGAGAGATACCTGGGGGGAACAGTGCTGTGAAACATGGTACCTGCAGGACGTGGCAGTGCCTGGAGGGAGGAGAGCCGCAGGGGGTACCTGGAGGAGTGGCAGCACAGAACATGGCACCTGGAGGACGTGGCACTGCGGGGGATCGGTACCTATAGGCAGCAGCGCAGTGGGGAACGGTGCTCACTGGGAACGGCACCGTGGGGGGACGGCACCTGGAGAGAGCATCGCCACGGGGCACAGCACCTGTGGGGAGCAGTGCTGTGGGGAGCCACGCTGCTGGGGAGTGGTACCTGGAGAGAGAGGAAGAGAATGGCAGCTGGCAGCGGGACGGCAGTGTGGAATGGGGAGATGGGGAGAGCACTGTGGGTGGTGGTGCCGATGGGTGTGAGAGCCTCAGGTGGAAAACTCGAGGAAGTGATGGTGCTACAATGGCTCTGGTGAGCTGAGGTGAAGCGGGGGAATGGTGTTGGTATGAGGGAGCTGTTGGGAAGAGCAGCACCAGGGATCAGGAGATCCCACGGGATGTGGGCAGGGATGGTGGTGCTGTTGGAATGGGATGCCGTGGAAAGTCATCACTATAAGGGATGTGCCAGCACTGGTCAGCAGAGCCCTGAGGGCTTAGTGCAAGAGGAGCGGTGTTTTCATGTGTCTGCACCAGGGAACAGAGATGGTAAAGCTGCCAACGTCCTGCTTAGCCAAAGGAAAGCTGCATGGAAAGAAATTCTTGGGGCAGGTGTAGTGCTGCTGGGCTCTGAGCAGGAGCGGCTGGCTGAGTTAGATGCTGATGTTCTCTGTGCCATCAGGTGGGGAAGATGACTCTTTGCAATGTAACGCTTCAGGAACGCATCCTGCTTTGCCTCCAAGCTACTCCCCGCATCTCTGCAGCCCTGAGCCTCCCTGCTCCCTCCTTGCATGCTGTGCTTCCTTCTTCTTCCTCCAGGCTTCTTTGCACCCTGTGCCGTGCCCTGCTGCCTCGTACCCTCAGTCCCATGTTCCTCCATCCCAGAGCTGCTCCTCTGCATCCTCTCACCCCCAAACTCACAGCCACATGTGCTGTAGCACCCCTGCTCCCCCAGCCCTGCACACCACGCTCTTGGTGATGATGTCTGATGTGGATGGAAGAAGCAAATCAGACCATGAACACTGGAGATGGTGGCACAAAACCATGCTCCAGGCCAGCTGTCAGCATGTGTTGAAGATACTTGGCTTATGGTGGGCGAGGGACCCCCAGCCCATCTACTGCAGGAGATGGAAGTGCTGCTGAGTGATGCTGCCTGCTTTCGTCTCCTCCCTAATGGTACTCCAGTGCACTGCTGAAATCCCCCATGAAGAGCAATAAAACTACTAGAAGAGTCCTTGCGAGAGGGAAACAGAGAGATAATTAGCAGCAGCACCAATATGTGCCTCTTCCCAAAGGAGACTGCCCGGCACAGCCTCCTGCACAAAGAGCAGAGGTGCCCTGGATGCTGCAGAGCAGGGCTGCGGGAGGGAGCTTCCCCTCCTCCAGGAGGGGCCAGGGCCCAGGCGCATCTCTGAATGCATCTCCCATAAAGGCCCTTTTCATCTGAAAAGTTCAAAGGGATGCGACTTTTACTGCCCCGGCTCATTCCTATGCAATGAGGCTGAGCAGCCCCCAGGCAGCCAGAGACAGCCAAGCAATAGAAAGGGAGAAGCCAGCGGGTGCGGATGCCCCGACAAGCACGCATCCCTCCAGGCATGGAGATGCTGATAGAGGGGTAGGCTGACCTTCTGGGGTGCAGTGAGCAGGCTGTGGGAAATGGTGTCTGCCCGGACACCGTGGCCAGAACTGGCCCTTTGTGGGCAGAGTTCTCACTGCTGCTTACCCCTAAAGAGTTGTGCTTGCCCGTGGTTGCACATTGAACTCCAGCCCACCGGCATGTGCTGAGAATTAGGCCATGGGGTCGTGTTTGCAGTAAATTGTGGCTATTCAGGAATTGCACCCTGCCCGTTCCCGGGCTCTGGAAGCAGAGCTGGTTGTGCTTGCGGCACATAATGCGCTCCTTTAGCGGGAGAGCACTGATGCCAGCATCTCACTGCAAGAGACAGCACTGGAAAATGGCTTTCATGCCAGAAATTAACAATGGGAAAAGCAGAATAAAAGATCCTGAACACCGAGTTCCTGCTTGACCCTGTGATTTCTCAGCTGCTATTGGCGCGAGGAAATCTCCATGGCTTTGTTTGATGGAGAGGTGGCATTATTTCTGTCCCATGGCAGACCACCTTCCCTTGGAGCAGGAGCATCCCATGGCATGAAAGAGCAGCACCAAGCCCTTCAGAAAGTGGGAATGGTGAGGACTTGTCCCACTTGTGTACTGGGAAAGGAGATGAGAGGTGTTGCTTGTGCAGAAGTGAAAGACAGCACAACATGGCCTTGGTCCAACCAACCAGTGGCCATCCTGTTAGTACTGAGAGGTGAGAACAGGGTTTGATTATTTCTATCTGCAGCTCAGAGAAATAAATGAGGCAGCTCTGCACTTGCCCAGGGAGTGGGAAAACATTTTGTCCATGGCTCTGAGAACAATCCCAAAGATCACAGGCAAGCACAGCTCTCACAGTGACACTTGTGGGCTCTTTGTCCCCTCCGATGCTTGGTCCCTGGCTTTTGCACCCTGCACCGTGAGCATGGCTGTCCCCTGTGCATGGGTTCTTCCATGTGTGCCCATCCACAGTGCCAAATGTCCACATAAACCCACCCCAGTGGGTTGTGTCCATGTGTGTGCACATCACTGCAAGCCAGGTGGCCTCGAGCTCTGCGAGTCAGCTGGGAGGTGAGGATGAGGATGGAGAAACACAGCGGCGGCCAAGCAGCTTTGGGAGGCTGGAACCTGAAGGCAGCGGGTGCCATGAGGACATTTGGGGGCTTGCTGCAATGCAACGGGGAGGGGAGCAGGAGGATCCTAGGGTGGGTGTTTGGAGGCTGGGGCTGTGCACTGATATGACCCTCTCGTCCTTTTTCTGCTCCTCATTAGAGTCCCCTGAGCGGAGCAGGCTGTGAAGGGGTCTGCACGGAGGTATGTCCTTGGGGCTGCTGCCAGGATATCGCAGCCAGCGTGTGCACCAGGGGATGGGAGAGTTTGGGTTGCAGTGGGTGTTTTTTTAGGGCAAGACATGCTCCCACACTGGTTTGTTGCTTACTATGCCTCTCTTCCATGCCCATCCTGTTAGCTCTCACGTTTGACCCTTTCTACCCATTCCCAGCATCGTAAGAGCTTTCTCCCACAGAGATCTCAGTGTTGCTGGTGCATGAAAGCTGTGCGGGGTGACTTGGGATCACCCATGATCTTAAGCCCCGAGTTGGTGGCAGGAGGGACATGCTGGCAGAGGCAAAGCCTCAGCATATATAGCATGAAAGGCTCCAATTTGCTTCTTGCCAGGGCTGTGGGTCCCTTCAACCCTGTAGTATGAGCAGCAGTATAAGCCCTGACCTGCCAGCAGATGCCAGAGGCAGTGATTTGTCCCAGGCAGTGACAGGGAGCTGTGTTATGCCCAAATGGGGCAGATAGCAAGAGATGGCTCATGCCTGGAAGAGGTCTTGCAAGTATGCTATAGGAGTGGTAGGAATTCCAAGCCGGGGCCTCTGAAGACTCTTAGCAAGAGCAGCAAGGCCTGGAAACCTCTGGCATAGTGGACACAAGGCAATGACCTGGTGCTGTTGATGGCCAGAACTTCCCACAAGCAGATCTGATGCCTTGGTGTATCTGGAGATCTGGAAAGGTGTTTGGTACACAGAGAGGTTTGGATGCTTCTGGGACAGGGATTCGTGGGTGTCTGACTTCTCTGGGGGTTGGTGTTGGATTGCCCAGTTGTGCTTTGCTCAGGTCTCAGACTGTGAGAGACTGGAAGTTGGCTGAGGACCTCTAGCTAGGCTTGGAAAGGAACCTCCAGTGGGTCCTTGGAATGCCTGGTGATGAGCAGAGCTGGTGCTCAGGAAATCTGGATTTACTCAGGGCAGTGAAAAGCCCAGCAAGTTTGGGGCACTTCTTTAAGGACTCCTGATTGCATGGCACGGGATGTCCGATGGGGCTGGGCCGAGGGGTTCATGACTCCTAGGGTGGGCTCAGCGAGCTGTGCTGCATTATGATCCCACCTGCACCCACTGCAGGGTGCTTGTCCTCAGGGACACGGCTGTTGGGAATTATGAGTTCTCTGCTTACATTTTTCATGTCCATGTGTTCAAATGTCCCCTTTGCATCTGCTCCTCTTCCCAAAGGAGAATCAGAATTCCTACCTGGTCACCTCTGGGGAGAAGGTCCCTACCATGGGGGCTGTACTCCAGCCTCATCCAATCAACCCACTGGGCTTGTCCGTGCCTAACAATGCCTCTTGCTTGCTTCTCTGCAGATCTCCGTCCCCTGCCTGATGTAGCCATGACTGGGACCTGTACCAGGGAGTGCACGGAGTTCGGCCACTCCGACACCTGCTGGATGCCCGGCCAATCCTCCCCCAGCCGCAGGCCCAAGAACGCCCTCAAACTCTCCACTTTTGTGCCTTACCAAGACAGAGGGAGTCAAGAGCAAGTCGGGAATGGCAGCCCCAGACTCTCAGAAGAGCGCAGCACCAAAATGGCCAACCTCCGCCTGCTCCCCACGTACAGTGCCTTCTCCAATAGTAGCCATGAGACCTGCAAGGACTCTCCCATGGAGGAAATTCCTCTCACCCAGACCTCGGACTTCCAGCCAGCCACCACCCCCTCATCCCAGACCACCAAGAGGGAGATCTACCTGTGAGGCTGGCCCGAGGGGCCAGGAGCAGATATGCTTCTAAGGCCAGCGTCCTGGAAACATTTGAAACTTGGTTGCTTTATGGGCTCCTGCGGCCAGTTCTGCTCTGGGTGGTGGTGGAGGTGCCCAGGGTCTTCGAGGACAGCAGGCAGGGCGAGGCAGGGATGGAAGGAGCGCCTTTAAAACCCATTCCTTGGGGCGGGTGGGAGGGGTGAAGGCATCTGACTCCCAATTTCCCAGCACTTGCAGATGCGTGTCTCCGAACTGCGTGGTCGGGGAGGCTGGGCAGGCTCCTGGTGCGGAGGGCACGGCTGGAGAGGAGGGCTGACGTACCAAAGGTCCACGTAGAGCTGGTGGAGTCCCTGGGGCATGAGACGAGGGTGTCCCTGCGCACAGGGAGCGAGCTGCCTGGCTCTTTGTTGTAGACTCCTGTAAATACGAACCTTAGGAATGACATTCAAGTCCTGCCTGATTGAAACTTTTTATTGTCCTTGAAACAAAAGACGTTTAAACAAACACATACCCACACACACAAACCCAATCCACAGGGAGCAAGTTCCAGATTTCAATGGTTTGCTGTGTGGAAGAGCCCGCGGGAGCGCAGCGTCCGGCCCACACTCATGTTCTATATTGTAAATAGAGTTATGACCAGTCCCTGAAACAGCAGCTGGGGAGCTGGAGGAGAGGGCAGCCCTTGCCGGACTTTAGGGACTCAGCTATTTGTCAGTTTGGATCTCTTTTGGAACGTTGTCACTGTGCCCACAAGCTGTAGGGTCCCTAGGGACTGCCCGGTGCCATAGGCAAGGGCTGTGCCAGGGGGGTCTCTGGTGTCCCAGTGCCCGATGGCAGGAGAAGGGATGAGGACATCCCCAGGCAAGGGACCGGCTGGGTCCAGAGAAGCCCTCAGTCCCACTCTGCTGGCAGGGGGTCGTCGTCAGCTGCAGCACCTCAACCCCTCGCCTGGTGCCTCCGCTGGGAAAGGGGCTGCTGATGGGGCCGGCTGTGCCATGCCTTCGACCTCCGTCCTGTCCGCCTGTAAGCCACCATTGCCTTCGTCAGGAGGAGCGTTGTCTCAGGGTCACGCCGGGGGCTGCCGAGCCCCTGCCTGCTGGAGTCCCACCGCCCTTAGGCCCCAGGGCCACTCTCACGGGCTCCAGCTTTCTCTTCCATTGCCCAGTCCCTGCTGCCCCGGCCCCCTCTCAGGGGTGACACCGTGCAGGCAGTGGGGACGGCGCTCCTGGAGATGTGTACATCGCAGAGGGGATGCCCAGGTGCCCTCCTGAGCATCTCTGTCTGCTTTTCGGGGGGACCCTGGCAGAAGGAGTCTGGGGGACTCACACCTCATTCCCGGGTCATCCTCCCTGGCTCCTCCCTCCCTGCTGGGATGTGGGGACAGGCTGTGCTGCACCCTTGTTCTTCCCATACTCGCGCATCGCATCAGTCGTCTTCATCTCTGGGATCTTCCTTAGGGAGCGAGGCCAGTGGTAGCTGCAGGATGCTTTCCCCCGGTCTGCACATGGGGAGAGCCTGGGGCTCTTCTTGCCAACAGCCCGACCAGCACAGGGTGCCCGCAGGACCCTCTGCCCACCTCCCCCCAGCAGCCCCTCTGAGCAGCTCCTCTCCCTTTGCTTTGGCGGTGCCAACTCCCGGTGCCCTGCATGGACACGGTGCCCTAGCCGTGCTCCCCACCTGCCCCAGCACCTCGGGGTGCCAATGGGGGGCAGGACCCCCCTCCTGGCCCCTGCTGCTGCTCCTTACCCAGTGTGGGGTGGGTGTGTGGCTCCGGGGGATGTCCCGCTGGTGGTGCCCGCTCTGCCGGCGGGGCCTCGTTCTCCTGGCCTGGCTGCCTGAGCAGGTCATGCTCCTGAACTTGTTTTTAATTGTAGCTCTGTAGTTTCAGGGCCTAACTGGGCAGAATGTGCAATTTGGCCACGCTGGCCAAGATCTCTGACTCCACTGCCAACTCGACTGCTCACACCTCCCCGTGGCTCTGGCCGTGTCCGGTGCCCCTCCTGGGGACCCCCCTGGCAGAGTCAGATCTGAGGGGTGCTTGTCCAAGAGCAGCTTTCCCAGGCTACTGCCTGCGGATAGGCTCCCTTCCTTCCACTCGGGGTCACCAGAAGGATCCTGATGCTCCAAGCAGTGTGGCTGGGGTGGCTGTCTTGTCTCGTGGAGCACCTGGCGATGTTCTCAGTGCAAGCGTGTTGCAAACTGGGGAGAAGTGTAGAGGAGATGGGTCCCCAGGGAACTCAGAGGGGTGGAAAGGATGGGTAATGCAGGAATGGGGCTATTGGGATTGGAACCGCTGGGATGGGTTCTGTGGGTTTGGGTACCATGGGGGTGGATATTGTGTGGATGGGCATCATGGGGATGAGTGCCATGAGGATGGGAGCCATAAAGATAGGTGCCATTGAGATGGGAGCCATAGGGATGGGTGTCATTGAGATGGGAGCCATAGGGATGGGTGCTATGGGGATGGGAACCATTGGGATGGGTTCTGCAAAGACGGGTACCACTGGGATGAATGCCATTGGGAAGAAGATACAGGGGGATTATGCGTCTCCTTTGAGGATGCTCAGAGGGTTGGTGGGGCTGGGTTTTTTAATGCAAGCACAGTGGGGAGAAGGGATGGGTGTCCTGGAGGGTGAGGGTAAGGGTGGGTGTATAGTGAGGAAAAGGAAGGACAGAGTGAATGGGTCCACCCTTGGGAGGAGAAAACCCTGGACATTTGTACTAGGAGAAGGGACAGTGGGAATGAAAGTTGGTATCACTGGGGACCAGTCCTGAGGGTGGGGAAAAAGAAGAGGTGCTGTTGGTAAGAAGCTCATTTGCACAATTATAAGCCAGAAGGATAAAGCCTCCGTGCACGTGGGGGGATGCTCCCCACGAGCTCCAGTCTAGACAAGCACAGGGAAGAGGAGAGGGTGGGACGCCTCTGTAGGGGGCTTACCGCATCTCACACTGCACTAGGACAAGCCAGGGGTAAAACCAAAGGTGGGAGCCAGGGAGCAGGCGGGCTGCGTGGGAAGGATCTAAGCGACCCCTTTGTAGCTCTTCAGTGTTGGTTCTATTTATACGAGATTTCATTTCCTTGCTTGTGATGCCTTGTTTTTTGTACAGTTTTATGTACATGCAGGTGTAGCTTTTCTAAAGGAGAAATCCTATGGCAGAGTAAAGTACCCAACTATTTTTCAGATGGTGACCTATGTCTAAGGCAATGCCTCTTGCTAAGGTTGTATTGCTCTCAATGTGTAATGCATTTCCCTGTGCGGGGAAGGCTTTCGGCCTTGGGCTTGGTTTTCCCCGGGCGCTGTGAGCACAATTGATTCCCTTGTAACTCTTTCTGTTCAGAGCAGTAAGCATGACACCGTCGTGATCCCCTTTCCGTTCTCTCCTGTTCTGTTCGTTTGCTGAGCTGTCAGATGACCAACTCCATTGTAATTAGCCCTTCCTAAAGCTTTACAATAAAAGTGTGAAAACCCGGGTGCTGTGCCTGGCGTCTCCTTCCCACATCTCGCATCCCACAGCAGAGAACACACACAGGCAGCGAGGAGCCTCCACCACTGCTCATCCGAGCCCATTTCTCACCCCTCACCCTCTCCTCTACCACACAGCATTTCCTATAGGTTCTTTAGCTCTGCTGATAACATCTGGGCCATCTCACAGCAGGAGTGGTGGCTGGGTTTCCCTGCCTGCCCCCGTGCAGAAATCCATGAGGCTCATTGCAGAGGGTGCCATGCATAGCTCTTTGCTGAGCTGCAGGGCTGGGGTTTTCCATGGCATCAGGACCCAGCTTAGGAGCCACTGACAGTGTCCCTGGGATGGAAGAGCTTCCAAATGGAGATGATTGTTTGCACAGCAGTGATTTATGGACCCCTCTTCTACCATCTCCACCCACTCTGAGTTCTCCTACTGACCATGCACAGGGGATGCGATGCTGCTCACCCCAAGGGGCTATGGCCAAGCTGTGCTTGCGATAGGGTGGAGTGGTGGGGATCATGGCACCAGGGCCACATCTCCACGTGCCAGAACCCCACAGCTAGCACAGGGGCAGGCAGCAAGAAAACTCCCAGAGCTGTCAGCACCCACAGAATCACAGAATTGTAGGGGTTGGAAGGGACCTCCAGAGATCATCGAGTCCAACCCCCCTGCCAAAGCAGGTTCACCCATCCACCCCCAGGTTAGAGGGGACCACCACAGGGCGCTTTCTAAGCAGCGTCCCCGTCCCAGGGCATCTCTGTCCCCCTGGCTTTTCACTGTGCCATTGGCTCCTTATGCTTCTTCCATTAAGCCCAGGCTGTGCAGCCCCCTGGTCACTCCACTTCATGCTTCCTTTCCCTTTTCTTTCAGCATAGAACCTCCTGCACTCCCTGCTATCTTCTCTTTCCTTACCACACCCCCGCCTCTCTCCCTGCACCCATCCATGCAGCAAACCTTCCTCACCCCCTCAGCACAGCCCTGAGCATCCACCCCACTACAGCTGCTCTGGAAACTGTTTGGTTTCCATGGCAGCCACTATCGATCAGATCAGCGGGGTGGGAGGGGATGCTGCTGGGAGGATGCTGCTGCTGCCCTGCATGCCTGGGGCTGGCACACAGGGCTCCGTATCGCCTGTAGAGTGGGTTTGGACAGCCTGGGCAGCCCCATATTGGGAGGGTTGATCCCAGAGTGGTCCCACATGGCTGGGAATCATGAGGATCCAAAATGGAGACGAGTGACACAATCACGGTGTCCTTGTTGGATCCACAAGCGTTGCTCCAGGCTAAAGAGGGGTGGAAGTGGGGAAGGGCCTCCTGCCTGCTGCCTGGTGGCCTCTGCTGGCTGGGAACATCCAAAAAAGAGGCAGTGATGCCAGACTGGGACAGCATGGGAAGGGGACTGTGCGCTGCATGAGCTTTGGTCTGACCCAGGTTCTCCAGCTCATCTGCTGCAAAAGGCTGCTCGCCTCACTGCACTGCAGGGCCTGAGTGTGCTCTGGGAAGGTGCCAGGCCAGGAACTTGTGTTTTTGATGGAAATCTCTATTCTGCCATCCCCTGAGGGCCCCACCTTGCAGCTTCAGCTGTGCAGCGCTGACAGATTCATCCCCAATGCTCACAGGCTAGCACAGATGAGGTCTGGGATCTTTCTGGCTTTGCCTGAGTGCAGCAGCACCATCTTCCTAATGGAGACTTCCTCTCCCAGGGCTCTCTCCCAGCAGGGC